TACCAACTTTCAAAGTTTATACAATTTTTTTTTTTTTTTTTTCGGAGAGAGAAAATTAGTAATGCTTCATATTAAACAAATTATTCGAATTTTCCGTATAGAAAAAAATGTGAACATTTTCTCGACAAGAAGAGTATATTTTTTGAAAAGAAAAACTATAATCGATTTACTCAGATCAGATTAGGTATTTTGGTGGTTGGGAGCATTTTTCATAACTGGATCTAAATAATTCTTATATAAAGTAAAATAAATTGCTGAACAATATAATTTTATCATTGGTTAGTTTTAAGTAATAGAAATTATAGTGTTCCTTTCTGTTCTGGGTCGGGACAGAAGGCTCCAAAGTTCAAGCCATCGAAAAATAAACACACCAATCGTTTTTTATATCATAAAAACGATTGATGTGTTTACTTTTTGTAGTTTAAAATTAAATATTACATTTCGTCACTGCTCTCTGTTTAGATCAGTGATTTGAAAAGTGGACACTATCGCTCTTTGATGGTGGTACTCATGAAACGCTAGTAGATAAGGGGTTGGAAAGCAAGAAAGATAAAAGTCAAATTTTATCTATCGAGATTTTCGCCATTTTTGACGTTTCAAACCCAAAAAAGTTATAAAAAAGATTCCTGCAATGAGTGCGTAATTTTCCCGTGTGTTATCTGTTAATTTTCCCGTGTGTTAACACTTTAAATGTTATTTTAACAATAACATTTAAAGTGTGTCTTGTGCCATCTGTTATGAGATTTTGTTATAAAAAATGTTATATATTATTAATTCTTATAAGATGACAAAAACTTTAATTATGAGGGTAGTGACGGTTTTTATTTTAAAAAGTTTTAAATGCTAATAACGAGTAATCTTCGTTAATTAAGTCCCATCTCTCTCTAGATATAACTTAGCGAAGATCATCCACTATTTCTCATCCTTTCTTTAACCACAAAAATTTACTATTATCACTTATATACTAGTTACTAAGGATGCACCGATAAGCAAAATGGCCGATTACCGATTAATCGGCCATGCATTATCGGCCGATACCGATTAATCGGCCAATTAGTGATAATAATTTATTGCATTAATAGTGTGAGATCCTGGAGTTAATTATACATTTAATTATAATGTGGAAAAACCCATTTTTCTCCACCTGGTATTTCCATCTCCCTCGGGTCAGGTAAACAAGAGACGATCGAATATCCTCTCAAAATCAACAATATCTTCCTCTGTTTCTAAAATAAATCTCAACACTTAATTGTTGACGCATAGAAACTTCGACATTGTTTAAAAAGCTAAAGTGTTTCTATGTTTAACAGAAACAAAATATATTTCTGTAATCGCTGATATTTGGACAGCAACTACAAACAATTCTCCTTTTTTAAGTGTAACAGCCCACTGGTTGAAGGATGATTTTCAGCAGGAAAGAGCTGTTTTGCAAATTGTTTCCTTTGAAGGTTCCCACACAGCTACACGAATCAGTGAACAGTTAAAAATTGTTCTTGAACAGTATAAGTTGACAAGTGATAAGATATTCTTAGTACTAAGAGATTCTGC